AAACGTTATTTGGGCCCCCCCCCCATGTCATGTCATGTGTAGCGCCTGATAAAAATTGGCCGCAGCGCCCAGTAACCTAGCCTGTCTTGGCCGCAGCGCTCGGCCCCTCAACCCGTCCTTGACAATAATTAACTAGTTTCGATAACATTCCATGAATAATTTCCTTCAGTTGAATAATGTTGGGATGATCCAAGGAACGTAGCAAGGATATTTCCCGGACAGCAGAAGACGGAACTCCGCCGTCAGCATCTCCGCCTAGAATCTTGATCTGTTTCATGGCGGAGAGTTCTCCTGTTTTCTTGTTGTGAACTTTAAAAACTGTTCCGTAAGTTCCTTCTCCAAGTCTTTCAAGTTTAATGAGATCACCTAGTTTATTAACATCACTACCTCTTCTAGTATTTCTCTGCATTTTGAAGAATGTTCAAGTTGTTTATCTAAGGAAAAGCATGAGGAATGGATATTCTATCTGTTTAACACAAGATTTGATAAAATATACATAAACATATGGAATTGATTTGTAAATGAAATAAACATAATAACGTGGATGAAACAAAGCATTGAAATTTAATATCACAAACAATTGGATGGTCAGCTATCCCTTATTAGAAAACTGAGTAACTCAATCATCATCTTTGTTTTGACAAGACGCAGAAACTTATTATGTTCTGTATCAGCCTATCTCCACTAATGAGTGTGTCACTGACTGACTGAAAGACAGGGTTGCCAACCTTTACTGGAGCTCAGATGCTATTCCAGCTATTCAAATTATGCCATTTTATGCTTTTTTCTGTAAAATTGAAAATTATGCCGTTTTATTCCATTTTTAAAGCTACAATTTCAAAATTTAGCAAATTATGCCATATTATGCTGTTTTGGTATGTATTTTTTTTCTTGCGCCTGCGCAGACTGGTCTTAGGCAAGAATAAAATCTCTAAATATTTATGAACATGTGAGACTCCCCCCTACTCTGAAAAAGGGTGGGGGGAGTGGGGGGTCTACGAGTGGGTCTACAGTAAATATCTTACAGTGGAGAGAAACTTGACACCCTGAGAAATTTTATAGAATCTTGTACATATTTTCAAATTATGCTGATATATTTAAGAAAAAATAAATCTTTGAGACAAAGTCTAAAATTATGCTTATTTTAAAGAAAAATTGTGCTTTTTTCGGACAAATTCTAAAATTATGCTAAATTGTGCAATTATGCTCTTTCAAAATATTGGATGCTTTGCACCTTTCCAATTATGCTGTTTTTAGAAAAAACGGCATCCATTATGCCCGGTTGGCAACCCTGCTGAAAGAAAACAGGGCGCATGCGCAAAAGTTATAAAATGCCGCGGGCGACTTATTTAATATCGTATTCCAAAATTATTCGAAGAGACAACATGAAGAATCGTCCGTTAAAGAAGTTCGTATCCTTGGAATCCTTGCGATTTACTTAATTTTCTTCGTACCCACTCCAAGGTACATTTCAGGACTTTAACTGTTTATTTCTATTCTTCTGAATACGATACAAGTCTGTGATTTCGGGGCAACGAACAACATACGAGCGAGTTGACACTTTAAAAAATCCAAAATTGATCTATAATCAGGCTAAGAAATTCAAGAGGCCTCGGAGGTCTAGAGTGCTCCGGGGGGCGTGAACCTTCCCATCCCCCGAGTAGGGGTGAACAAGGTCGGCAGTGAGGGGACATCCCCCCCCCCCCTGGAAAGATTTAGTACGCAACAATGAAGGGCAATATCTAGTCCTTTCAAGTTGATTTTCAAGAATGGACTCAAACAACTTTTGCCTGGCCGCCCCCCTTCATCAGTCAACTTTTTGTTTATTATAAAAATATATTTTTATTCCAGAGGAAATTTTTACATTGAGAATCAATTTTCTCTATCCCACCCCATGACAGTGTCATGGGTTTTGACAAAAATGGATCAAAAATACCTTTACAAAATTATACATGGTAAAGGGGGACATGGAAAAGATTGTATTTCTCCCATGGAGTCCACGGCCCCCCTTCGTGAAAGGGACGGGGGTGATTCCCCAGTTTCTTCACGGATTATTGAGTCATGAAAGTGGGAGAACTCGGAATTCCTAATCCTTATCTTGTTGTCAATTATATTCTAATCCTGAAGAACACATCTTTGGACCAATCTCGAAGTTCTAAAATCTTAATTAAACTTATTAATCCCAACTCATACATCTTATTATCCTAAGAATCCTAATCTGTATGCCATAAAGTTACAGTCTTGTTGTTAATATTTATACTTACTGACTCAGACCTCTGGTGTCGGAGTTAGTTAATAACTTCTGTTCTACCTTATTCTAAACTTAACTCATACTTCATCATATATTAAGAATCTTTTGTAGTCCTATATTCTAGTTGTTAACGATACAATTTTACCTTATTCTAATCTAAACTTCACCGTATATTAAGAATCCTAATCTCTAGTCCTATATAGTCTTGTTTTTAATAATACTTCTACTTTATTCTAATCTCAACTCATACTTAATTCTAATCTCTAGTCCTATAGTCTTGTTGTTAATAATACTTCTACTTTATTCTAATCTTAACTCATACTTTTAGCTGTTTAACTAGATCGATTCTACATTTTCATGTCGGCATTTAATTTGTTGAACTACAAGATTAACATAATTAACTTCTTACTCGCACTTTCAAAGTTCTTTTTTGACCCCAATACTATTTCGAACATTTAATTTGAATTTTAATGGGAAATGCGCTTGATGCCCAAATACAATTTGTAAATGATTATTTACAAACAACTTTGCACTACATTTTTATGGGAAACTTTACATTATTGCAAGTGGTTTTAGTGTACATATGTAATATGTTAAAGTATAAAATGTATAGTAATGTAAAAGGAATGTATGAATGTGAATAGTTCAGCGAATGCAAGGATTTTATTTGCTTCTTCCCTCCTACAATCTTGTTTTCCCATCCTTCCAGCAACCCTCCCCCCTCTTTTCCTTCTTGTGCTTTCAATATTACCGGAGATATAAAGAGTTTGGTTCAGATTTCAATTTTGTTAAATAAAAGCAAAATTGTCGAAATCTGAATGAAATTCTTCATATCTCGGGCAATATTGAAAGCACAAAAAGGCAGACCACATTTTGGAAATGGCAGGACAAGGGATTATTATCTCTAGAAATTTACTTCTGAAATTAGGTTGACAAATAAACGCAGCAAATTATATCAAAAATCAAGACGACATTCAAGTCGTCCTGCATACTGTCATGTTTCGTGGGACACCCTGTACATTAAAAAAAAAGAGAAGATCAAGCATTGATCTCAAAATCCACATTTCTAAAGTTTTCAGCTTAGATTAAAGTTGTTAAAATTGGCGCATACTTTTCGAGACAAATAAGACAAAACTTTCTACATTTCTATCTGAAAGATAATAATACCTTCCCATCGCATACTGCACTTCCGCTTGTGTAACATTTTTTATCTAAAAAGGGCGCAATCGTAGAAAATTACATAACATAAAAAAATGGCACATATTGCCAATTCATTCAAAATGTAATTTGTTAGTAGTTGTCCTAATATTTTTACCTGATTTGAAGATTTCATAAATCATATTGCATGGTTGCTTCCGCTTGCGCCATTTAATTGCGCTATTATTTCGAACAAGGAAGCCATTAAATATTCACGGAATTGCTTTTCCATCTAAAACTCAATAATTTTAACTATGACTTACAAATTTTGCAGCAGAAACAAGAATGGAAATATCTCTAGGTTTTAGAATAATCAAGGCCTGAGTTTCACAATTGTTGTAACAGTTTTCAAATTTTAAAGTTTCTTGTGGTTTAATAGGATACATTTTTAATTTTTTTAACATGCTGAACATTTAAATGGAAACTTTTTAGGTTGAAATTATAAGGTTTTTGTTTAATCAAATATCAAAATCTTTCTCGTTATCAAGCTGCAAATGAATATTTTAAAACAAAAGAATAAGTTTAAATTCAATTTTCTTAGCATTTGTGACTGAAATGTTAATGAAGTTCAGTTCATCGTATGCCACTACCAAAGTTGAAATTGAATTTTTTATTGTTGAACGGAATTGCGCAATAATTATTTGCATTTATTTCATGCCATAAGTTTTAAATTGAATATTATCAAAAAATTGAAACACAAACACAAGAAAGTTGGACGGAATTGCGTGCTATTGCGCGCAATTGCGTGCAATTCTGTTGCGCTTATTGCTCGCAATTATCACGGAATTGCGTGCAAGTAAAATCAACCTGCGCTAGAAACCCTACTTTTTAAATCTTTTTATGATTGATAATGTGGAAGATATTTTTTTTTGCTTGAAAAGAGGTAACTTCTGAAAAGTTGATCCATTCTTTCTGGCGAAACTGCAATTTGAAAAATAATCAATTTTCAAAATTAAAAACATGGATATCACTTCATTCTTTTAATTGTACAAAGATTTTTATGATACCGATGTGAATCGGAAATTGTGGTCTATAAATGGAGGGACAGTTTACCGCCCCTTTTAGCCAGAGAAATATGATGTATGAGTCTGTTTCTCCGTTGTTATTGAACTCCAGGTTTAAAATGAAATATATCGGGCTAATACTCAATTTGTATTTTGCATCTATTGTATTTCTTTTCTCAAAGCATTGTGTTTAAAGCACTAAACTGTTTGCCCAAATCCCCGCCAAAATAAACAAAAAACCTGAGGTTTGCAAACAGTGCATTCAGGAACAATTGTTCTTATTCTCTAAAATTTACTGTTTTTTTACCTAAGGAATTGAGTTTTGTTTACAAATTCACGTATTTCTTACACTTATAATTTTTCTTAATAAATTTTGTTTCAATATTGATTGTACTTTTGGCTAAAAATCAAAAGAACAATATATTCATCACAAAGTTTTATCGTTAAATTTTCAAATTTTCAAAGATTTATCCCTATTTTTGCTTAAATTCGAAAAAAATAACCAACAAATATTTTTTTAAAACGCAATTAATTTAATAAAATTTTTAGAAAGTTGACTTTCTCTCAATACTTCAAATAAAATATTTGAAATTGATATTTTCGTAGAGTAGAGAAGTGTTTTGAACGTGTAAATATGTTGAATTTTGTTCACAATGTGTAAATACGAACCTGACGAGTTCACGTTGACCGACGCGTTGCTGCTGGCTGCTGTATCTGAAGATTCGAATCTAGTTCTAAATAAGGAATACATACTTTATTTGAATAACTTTTTATGATTTCTTTTATGTTTTTAAAAGCCCAGTATTTTTGGTTTAGCTTAGGCTGGCATACCTGGACATGGGCTAGTATGCTTCGACAGCTAGCAGGCCTTGCCATAGGCTAGCATACCTTTGCATAGTCTAGAATGCCTTGGTATATATGCTTTGACAGAAGCTGGCCAACCTTGGCCTGGGCCTTTTGTATTGAATATTATATGTCAATATTTTATATTTTTTCTGTAACTTTTTCAAGTATTCTTTCTTATTTCTGTGTAATTTAGCTTTTATTTTACTTGACGACAGAATTTTATTAGTGTTAATATATAACATGGCTTGTTGAAACAAATATGATAAGATTATGGATTATCATTTACAAATTCTCTTTCAGCATTCTATACTCTAACCTTGCTCCGATTAATAATCCAAATATAATTAAGATTATGAATTAATTAACCAAAGAGAATAAGGATTTTAGATTGTTGAACTAGAGAATCAAGATTATGGATTGTTGAACTAAAGAGGATTAAGATTATGGATTTTTGAACTAAAGATGACTCAGCTTTTGGATAGTTCAACCAAAGAGGATTAAGATTATGGATTGTTGAACTAAAGAGAATTAAGATTATGGAGGTTTGTTCCAAAGAGGATTAAGCACATTGAATTAAGTTTATGACTTGTTAAACCAAACAGGATTAATATTTAGGGTTGTTGTACTAAAGAGGATTAAGATTATGGACTGTTGAAACAAAGAGGATTAAGATTATGGATTGTTGTACTAAAGAGAATCAGGATTATGGATTTTTGAACCAAAGAGGATTAAGATTATGAATTGTTAATCCAAAAAGGATTAAGCATATGTATTGTTGAACCAAAGAGGATAAAGATTATGGATTCATTAACCAAATAGAATTAAGATTATGAACTGTTAAACCAAACAGTATTAAGATTTAGGGTTGTTGTACTAAAGAGGATTAAGATTATGGATTATTGTACTAAAGAGGATTAAGATTATGGATTGTTGTACAAAAGAGAAACAAGATTATGGATTTTTGAACTAAAGAGGATTAAGATTATGAATTGTTGATCCAGAGAGGATTAACCCTATTCCTGCTGGGGGGGAGGGGGGTCAATTTGACCCCCCCCCCAAAGTATTGGTCTGAGGCTGTTGAAATTCCTACATACCCAAAGCCCTCTCTTTAGGTCTAAAACCGGGCTTTAATACTAACTGCCTGAGTTCTCAGGCACACTGCCTGAATGACTGCTTTTTCCTGTAGCAAACTAAATCTTTGTTTGACCCACTTCCACTTGTCAGATTTTGATCAAATTTAGCTTTTTGGAAAGCCTTTGACATAAGGAAACGAATTGCACAAGTTTTGCGAAAAAAAATTGCACATTTTTTGCAAACAACCTGTCAAAGGAAATTTTCACATTTTTAGTTTTTCTTGATTAAAAATCAGGTTATTTAAAATTTTGCAAAAATTTTTGCATATTTGAAATGGCATGGTCAAGGCTTTTCAAAAATGTATAATTTTTCATTTTTTGGACAAATTTTTTTTTGAAAACATTTTTACTATATAACTGGATTTTGCGATAAAAAATTCAATTTTTGCAAATTTGCAATTTTTTTTGCAGATTCTAAAAGTAGCAGCACAAGAGCTTTCCAATGATGTATCATTTGTCATATTTTGACATCAAACATGGGATTTAGAGGGGGGGGGGGTCAAATTGACCCCCCCCAGCATATCCTGGTTTTCAAGTACCACAGCAGAGATAGGGTTAAGATGATGTATTGTTGAACCAAAGAGGATTAAGACTGTGGGTTGTTGATCTCTAAAGAGGATTAAGATTATGAACTGTTGAACTAAAAATGATGAAGAATAATTAATAATTAATAATTAAGAATTAATATAGAATTAATATTATGGATTACTAAACCATAGAGGATTACGATAATGGATTGATGAACAAAAGAGGATTAAGATTATGGATTGTTCAACCAAACAGTATTAAGATTATGGATTAATCAAAATACAAAAAAATATTAAGAAAAACATTTTTAGCATTGTACTAAATCTTAAAGATTATGGATTGTTGAGCTTAAAGAGGATTACTATTATGACTTATCGACTAAAACAATGATGAATGATTAAAGTATTGTTGGTACAGATGCCAGGAAACTGTAGAAATATATCTGATGAGGTATTCCCTGGTATACATGTTGGCGACAAGTAAGCTTTTCTCATATTTTTCAAATACAGGGTTATCCATAGAGAATAAGACTTCAGAGACCACTGTACGGAATTTATTCTGTCTTTTTCATAATCCCTGATTCCCTGCAATTAAAAACTTCTTTCTTTCCGTCAAATCATTTATAAGCCTTAAAAAGACTATTTAAGGCAGGAAACTTAATTTAACCTAGAAAGCGTTTTTAAAGTATCTTCCTTTGTGGACAGCTCTGTACGTAGGGATGTTAACGTTTTCATTCTTTTGAAAAACGATCGTTTCGTTATGAAAACGACGACGAAAAATCGAAAACGAAACGATCGTTTTTTAAAAGTTCGTTTTTTTAATGGTCGTTTTTATAAAATTCGTCGTTTCGTTAACGATCGTTAACGACGACCCTTCGTTTCCGATCGTTTTCAAAAACGATTAACAACTCTATCTGTACGTGCAGTTTAGTTAACCTTATCCTGTAAAACTGTCCGGCGGATAATTGTTGTACCTTTAATACCTTTAAATATTGCAGAAACTAAATCCCTGGGGCTGAAAACTCATCTTAGTTTACAGATCAACATTTCATTTTACTTTTCACACATCTCTCTTTACACCATTTAATATCCTAGAGCACATTTTACTTTAATTTATTAGAAATTTAGAGGTTTTAAAACCTTGCCTATCTACAATTTTTACTTTTCGGAATTTTAACTAGACGTTGAAAGATGATACATGAAAAGTTAACAAGATATATTTTTAATCTTTCAAAAAGAAATCGTCTTGAAAAAACTCAATTTTAAATTCAAGTTTAAAGCAGTTTAAACCGGAAATATATGATCAAAAACTGGTCTATCAATTACTTATCAATAATATCCCAATAGTAATTTCTAAAATCTGTAATGTTTGAAAGTTTAATAGCATGAGGAGGTTGTCTAACACCTTTAATCATAAAGTAATTGAGTCGTTACCAAAAACTCTAACTTTCTAATCCCTTGGCAATCTGATGGTGTAAACCTTTGATAATTCAAACTTGATCTATCAGAATTCATAGTTTGAAATTTTTAAGATCTGCCATATTTGGTTCCAAAGATATAGGGATTGAAAACCAGAGTTTGTTGCAAAGACTCAATTGTTTTGTTTTTATTACATAAAATTTAACTTAACACAAAAAATACAAATAAAATCAAGCTGACTTTAATTTTTTGCTAAAATATTTAAGTCCCATATATTACAAAGAAATTAAGTCCTTAAACTCAAATGTTTAACCCCTATATCTTTGCATTCTGATGGTATAAACCTTTGATTTTTCAAAAATAGATTGATTAATCCATCAAACTTCATAGTTTGAAACATCTTAGGTCATTGGGTTGAAAAAATAAAGATTAGATTAGAAAAGCAGAGTTTGTGGCATCATTGTGAACTATAACTGAGCCCTTCAAAGCAGAAAACAAAGAAATATAATATCAACTAAAAACGTGATTTTTTTAGTTCTAACATTTATGATATGTGTGTCACCTTGAAAAGACAAAAATTCATTATTTATTGTTATGTTTATTTTTGTAAAAGAATAATATTTCAAAGTAAAATATTTTCTTGTATTTTTTGCTTGTAACAAACATTCTAAAGATCAGAAAGTACAGCTAGGACGACACAAGAATGTTGCGAATTAAAGTTCTTGTTTCACAACTGCTGTATTTGCGGTATGTTCGAATGAAGGCCACCATGTTAAATCAATCCGAATAAGAGCACTTAAAATATTTTGCTAACGTTGACATTGACAAAGTTTTTGCAAAAATATCGGCGGAGTATGAGATAGTTTTTAAATGGCATTTATTAGAGTGAGAGATTGGAAAACATCATAATTTGTCAACACTGCAGCATTTAATAAAATTTACAGGATAAAAATAAAAAAAAAAAACTTTCAGGAATTTGTTTGATTTCATTCAGTGTAGTATTTAAATAAAAACAACATAATTAATAAATGAAATAAATAATACGACTAAAATCATCAGCTGAAAATATTTATCATGCATGTTATTGTTAAAGGATTGTATTAATTGTATGCGTAATTATAAGTGACCCCCCATGAAAATATGCCAATGCCTGATTTACATACGATACCCTAGAAACCAATTAATATGATCAAAACAGTGGAAGAACCGCAAATGTAACTATTCATACTTGATCAGACAAAGCTTTTAAGGGTAGCGTTGTTAATCGGGCATATTGTCATCTTTGCATGGGAGAGTTACTTGTACTTACGATTTAACAAGAGTAAAAACTGTAATCTGATGTATTTAGAAGATTATTTATCAGAGTTCACAAAAATTTTTATAATTCCATAAAAACAAGTTGATAGTAGATACAAATTTGAATTACTAAAGATTTCGTAAACTTTAAAGGGCCCTTCATATTTAGACAGCAAATATTGAATATTTAAAAAAATGATTAAACTCTATGCCTAAATCTAAAGGTTAGTGTTAGGTCAAGACTTTTAATAATACCTAGAACAGTACTTCAAACGTTCAGAGGGTTTAAAGGGAGTGTTCGCGAGAAATGAAATGGGGTATAGGCTTAGGGCGAAACATAATCGCTATTGATTGCTACTAATCTTACTTCAGTTGCGTCTATAAGGAGGAAATTGTTAAAAACGTCTTATACTGAGGAACGTAGCGTCCATGCAAATTCAGAAAGTTGCAATATTTGACTCGTATCGTAAGATAATCACTTTAAAAAACAATAAAAAAATAGAAGTAAGATTATTAGCGATTATTTTTCGCCGTAAGCCAATACCCCCTTTCATTTTTCGCGATCACTCCCTTTAAATAAGAAAATTTTCGTTGAATTCCAACTGAATTGAATGTCAGCATTTTTGATTGTTTTAATTGATTTTCGGACTTTTTATTTTTATTCGTTGAATTTGATAGTTTTAGAACCATGCTTTTACCATAGAAATATAGAAATATAGAGAGGGATTTATTGGAAAAATTAATCCCTCTATATGTATTGCTATATAAACGATATAGTTTAAAAAGTGTTGTGCATTTCTTTCTCCTTCCGGCCTGCACCACACAATTTGTTTAATGAAACTTCCTGTCCGCATGTCAGCGTATTTTTTACATTTTCTAAAATTTCTGCAAATTTTCTCGTTTTAATGAGTAAAAATACAGCGTTGAAAAAGAAAATTTAAGATATTTGCTAATCGTCTATTTCCTGTAAATCTAAAATAAAAAACTATTTTGTAAAAATCGGTCAAGGTCCACACCCCACACCTAGATACATCTTGAGATACATTTTTCTTCACAGTTTTGAAACACTTTTCTTTAGGCAGGGGAATTTGCCCGAGCATTTCAAGGCTGAAAAAATTATTTACATAAGTTAAATATATTTGTAATATATCTGTTTATAACACTTGAATTAATGAGTTAATGGACTCTGGGGTGTGGGAAAGGTTGGGGATAAGCATGCATTTTTAAACTTCAAATGAATTTTTTTTTAATTCTTTTGTTTTGCTTTTTCGGTACTTTTAAATCTGTGATAAATTGAAGTACCATCCAAGGACCAAAACATTTGTATTATTGTAAACAACAGGCCTGCTTTGCTGATAATAGACTGTTAGTCTGGTTGATTCATTTGCCAATTGATTAATCGATTGGCGGACTTGTTGATTTGTTGATAAGGCTCCTTAACTCGGACACAGTAGTCGCAAATAATCAAAGACATGATAATGTATTAATGGAGTTTGATATTTAAAAGTATAACTTACTAGTTTTCCGTGTCGGAGTAAAAAGGAGTGATTAAGGATTTCAGGTTTTGATGGAATAGTTTAAAACATTTGGAATCTTGTTTTTTGTTTAAAGTGGAATTAACTATTGATTGCAAAGTTATTTGTGGATTTGATCTTTCACTTAGTAAACGTTTCACTGATTCGATTTTTTCCTTTGTCTGGAAAGATAGGTAGAGTCGGAGAAATATTTGGTTTGGATTTGGGCTAGTAAAGACGACTTGACTGGCCGGTTAGGAGACAGGTTTATGGTCAACAATTATATTTTTGTATTTTAATACACTGAAACAATTCGGACACAAAGATTTCTGAGAGATTATCAAGAATCCACTTTGACTTTATCGTTCCCTCAGTTATGCAAAATATTTCAAGAAAAAGCAAAACAGAAAACTTGAACACAAAATTTGGTTACTTATCTATTTTGTAGAGATTATATATGAATATATTTTCATAGAATATATTGTTATAGAAGTACAGCACAAAAAAGAACACTTTATAATCTTATTTTAGGGGAGCCGCTAAGAACACGTTTTACCTGAAAAAGGTTGGTGTGACCCATGTATTAAATACAGCTGAAGGTCAAAAACAAGCCACTGTAGATACAAACGCGGTAAGCTAAATTCGGATTTTAAGCTATAAAAGGAAAATTATTTGGGAATTTGGAGAATTAATCATCATCTTAAGTAAATAATTACTATCTATTCCCTTACGCTGACTATTTCCATTTCGTTCATCAATTACAAAAAAAGCCCCCCCCCCTGGACCAGTGAAATCTATTGGAAAGAAAAAAGATTAAGCCCTCCCCTACACAAGCCCCTGGATATCGCTGAGAATTTAGTTTTTTGTGATTATATATTTTAAAAATGTGACCTGAACTTTTACGAATTATCTTGTAGGATAAAATTAAAAAATCCTAATCTTCATTTCTTGATTTAAAGAAAGAACGAAGATTACAATTCATAGTTCTTAAGTATCTAAATTCACTTTCACTAATTACTATTTCAAAGCCTTCATTCAAGATAATGAAATAATATTGTTAAAAATTTATTCATTTATTTCTATTATCAGGCCTACTATAAACCTGTTGGAATTAAGTATAAGGGCCTGAAGCTGCTGGATGTGGCCCAGACAAATATTGCCATGCATTTCGATGAGGTCGCGGAGTTCATTGACGAAGCGCTTTCAAGTGGAGGTAAGAAGGATGAGGTGGGGTAGGGGGAGGAGGTGGAGGAGGAGGAGGAGGAGGATGCTTGGGGGGGAAGAAGGAGGAGGACGAGGTGGAGGAGGAAGAGAAGGATGAGGTGGGGTATGGTGAGGAGGAGGAGAAGGATGAGGAGGAAAAGGGAGACAAAAGAGGGGGAAAAGTAGGAGGAAAAAAAGGGGGAAAGTAGATAGAGGAAGGAGGGGAGAGGAAGAAAAAGAATAATTTTATAATTTAGTTGCCAGATTTATATCTTGTAATAGTTTCAAAACTAACATTTAAAGTAACATTTTGAAGAGAAAAGTTTAATTCGATGCTATTCAATTAGGATTTCTAACGCAAGTGGGTTTTACTTGCGCGCAATTGATGGCCCTGTAATTTCCGCACAATACAAGAACTCCAAGAACAGTTGCTCGCATTTCCGCTCAGTTGCGTGCAATTTTTAAATAATGACAATTTTGAATCAGGTTGTGTTCTGGTAAACTGCCAGATGGGAATGTCTCGAAGTTCAACCTGTGTCTTGGCATACCTCATGCTTAGGCAGAACATGACCGCTGTAGAGGCTCTAACAGAGGTCAATATACTGTTTAATCTATCAGGATGAGGATATATATTTGTCATCCTCGAGGACTAAAAGAGCGAGGGGGGTGCGTATTGGGAAATAAAACATGCAAGAGCTGACGTGAAAATCGCTCTGGATTTTAGCCGAGTATTTGCATCTGCAGCTAAGAACAAGTACCTTCACGGGTTAAATTATTTTTGTCTATGCGATTCATAAAAGAATTTTCGAGCAAAGACCTGGCGACGCTTTAAAGTCAGTCCAGACTGTTCGTAGATATTGATGAAAAAAAGATTTAAAAATGTTATTATATTGTTATACAGGGTGTTCAACAAAGCATGACAGTTGCAAGACAATTTGAAAGTCGTCTTTGATCTTTGAATTTTGTTGAGACATTTAGTCGTCAAACTTCTTTCCCATGTATGGTTCTTGAAACAATAACCAGAAAATTCTTCTAGTCCTGGGATTTACAAAATGTGGTATGTCTTTTTGTCTGACAATATTACCAAAATTGTCGAAATATGAACAAAAGTTTTCAAATCTCCGGAAATTCTGACAGACCACAGACACAGGCAGACCATATTTTGAAAATGCCAAAACTAAAGGTGACTATAAGCTCTAGAATTTTACCTCCAAAATTTGGTTTACGAATAAATGTCGCAAATTATTTCAAAGTCGTCTTGCCACTGTCATTTTTCTTGGGACACCATGTACTATATATGTAACACTGAATATATCATTATATTATGATTATGTATTCCTGCTAACAACCCTGCTATGTTGTCTAGGTCCGAAAGCACCGTGATGTTCGACCTAATGATGGATTTCTCCGGCAGCTGGCAGAACTAGATAATAAACTTAGGAGAGAGAGAGGGCTTCTACAGAAATAGGTTCGAAACAGGAACCTAGAAACTGGAAACCTAGAGCAGAAACCAGAAAGAAGAACCTAAAAATTAATGGAACCAGGAACCTGGAACAGGTGTTTGGAACTTGATCCTGGAACCAGGACTTGGAATCAATAACCTGGGTCAGGAACTTGGAACATGATCTTGGAAACAGGAACCTAGAGCACGGAATCAGGAATCAGAAAAAGGAATCTGAAACAGGAATCAGTAACAGGAATCTGAGACAGGAATCTGAATAAAAAGTCCAAAAGAAAATCTGATACATGAATTTAAAACAGGAATCTGAAACTGGAATCTGAAACAGGAGTCTGAATCAGGAATCTGAAACAGGGATCTGAAGGAAAAATCTAAAACAAGAATCTGAAACAGGAATCTGAAACAGGAATCTGAAACAGGAATCTGAAACAGGAATCTGAAACAGGAATCTAAAACAGGAATCTAAACCTGAATTTGAAACAGGAATCTGAAACAGGAATTTGAAACAGGCATCTGAACCAAGAATCTGAATCAAGAATCTAAAACAGGAATAAGAAATAAAACAGAAACAGGCGAAACAGGCACTTCAAAAAGAAAAGGGAATCTAAAAGATACAGAATAAGAACAATTAACTTATAAAGAAGTAACAAAGCTATAGAAAAAGATATATTTTCAAGAACAAAAGAATTAAAAAACTAAAATATTTACCTAAAACAGAAAGGTTTATGAGCAGAATATATTAACAAGAGAAAGGACATTAATAAGAAAAGATGAAAGTTAACAATAACAGTAACATTATACAGCAAAAGAACATTTACAGGAAAAAAAAAACAATATAGGACCATGAACAAGTTCAAAAAGAGAACTGAACCAAAGCTATCAGATACATGAACAATCTTACTGTTACACTGCAACTATAATTTCAGGTTCGATATTATTTTTAAAATATTTAATTTGGACTTCTCAAACAATCTTGATATTTTCTTTTAATACTTAAAAATGTTATAGTTCTAATCTATTTTAATTGTTTCAAAATGTAAAACCACCCCAATTGGTAAATAAAAGGTATAAAAGGTGCACACCATCAGGTTGCATTGTAAAGATATAGAGATTAGAAAATTAGAGTTTGAGACGAGTTCTCAGTTTGTTTCTTTCTATAAACTAAAATTTAAATGGCTTTATAAAATGCTTATTCTTTAATTTAATAACAATGTAAAATTTTGTAGTTTTATTAAAAAATATTTTATAATAAACTTTAAAAATTATGAAATGTTTTAATAGTGTTTTTTGTAATTTAATAAAGATCAGATTAAGCTTATGTTGTAAGATATCGATAATACTTTGAACTAGACAGAAGGAGAACATAAATTTCTTGCAACATTAATGGTGCAACTTTGCGACCTCGTAGCTCCTCTTATTTGATTTGTACACACAAATATGAGAGAAGAAGATTTATTATTCAAAAGCTCAAAATGATTTATGATTGAACATATGTAAGATTTTATTCTCACATTTTACTTATGTTTGACGTGTGCTATTCGTGCTATTGGTATTCGTAAATTAATATTATTGAAATTCAATATTTATAAATATACCAGATATTGATATTCGTTAATTGAAATTATTGAAAAAAAATAAACATTTAAATTTAATATTTATAAATATACAAAAAAATTGATATTCGTAAATAATAACAGGAATTAATATTTGTACAGAGAGAACCAGAAAACTGTGGAAAGGGGCGTATACAGGGGGGCGGCAGGACCCTCGCAACCCCCTGACAGATTCAGGGGGCGTAGCCCTCCCCTGATATTTCAGAATAGCTTCTCAATAGCATTTAAGGGAAAGAAAACCTAATGCTGTACAGGAAAGTCAACAAAAATTTCGCTTCGCCGCGTCTTTTCGTTCCTAAATCTGGATTTTTTCGTTCCGAAATAAATCTAGCAACCCCCCCCCCTTACTTAAATCCTGTAACCGCCCCTAACTGTGGATTAGAAAGACGACATCAAAGCAATACTTCTGTGTATTTGATATTATCAAGTAAATAGTTTTACTACAGGGTGTCCCAAAAAACATGGGAATTCAGTGACGAATTCGATATCGTCTTCATGAATAATTCTTTGATTTAGTATAGTGATACCTACTGAGAAAGCTGTAATCTGTAAGAGTTTCGTCTGCTATGTTTACATTTTGTTTGTTTATGTTTTGACTGCAACCGGTTGTACTTAGTAAAACAAGAAATTACATGTATACAAACAGAGTAAACTTGTCCATATTCACTGTTCATCTTGCGGAGAAATTATAGACACATCTTTTCAGTCTTTTACCCTTTTCATTAAATAAACTCTAGCAGACATAATAATATTATGGCTTTTGAAATTAGGTATTACAATGCTAATTCATAACAAAGACGATATCGAATTCGTCACTGAATTCCCCATGTTTTTTGGGACACCCTGTATAATGACTTATCAAATTACTTATTGAGTGAAATGGGTCTGTTGACACTGCATAATTACGGTGTCTCGTGCTTTTTTTTTGACTAATTAAAATCACAACTTGAGTCTAAAAGTCGTCTTCATATTCCAAAGTTTTCTGGTAAATAATTGATATTAATTATAATAATAATTATTTTATATAAACCTTTCAGGAAGACATAGATATTCAAAATATTTTGAAGAGAAAAGAAAAACAATTTATTGGAATTTATCCTTGTTTAGAAAGATCTAATGGACCGGCATAAAGAAAGAAAAACAAAAAATAAGTTTGACATTGAGCCACTGAGCGTGAATTGAAATAGAAATTTTTAATATAAAATTTATCTATACTAAGCTGTAAATAATTTAGCTTTAACTATTGCTCAGAAAGTTAGCTATTCAAAATCAATTTTAAATTTTGGCGAATTTTCTTTATAAATTTGCACATTTTTTTCTTTAATTTTGATATTATATAAACCTTCCCTGGGGTCCTGTGAGGTCCCACACAAAATCTGGGCCCGGTCAGTACAGTCGTTTAGACGTTAATCGGTTACAATCAAACAAACAGACAGACAGACGGACAAGCAAAGTATATATAAAATATACTGTAGGAAAATAAACACAGTCAAGGGACTGAAACAGGCCCCCGTAACCCTGATTTTCTCAAGGGGGGGGGGTGAAAGGGGTGTTGAAATATGGGCCCAGGATACCGAGTGAGGCAAGGGCTAGTATAATTTTTTTTTTTGTAATTTGGGTCGTGAACTAGTAATATTAGCTTGAAATTTATGTTACTAGATTATTTAACACTATTCCTGCTAGTTTTTTTTACATAACTCAAAAAGTATTGGTCTGAGGCTGTTGAAATTGTCTAACTTTTTCTACATACCCAAAGCCCTCCCTTTAGGCCTAAAACCGGGCTTTAATACTAACTGCCTGAGTCCTCAGGCACACTGCCTGAATGACTGCTTTTTCCTGTAACAAACTAAATCTTTGTTTTGACCCACTTCCACTTTCAGATTTTGATAAAATTTAGCTTTTTGGAAAGCCTTTGACATAAGGAAACGAATTGCACAAGTTTTGCGAAAAAAAATTGCAAATTTTTTGCAAACAACCTGTCAAAGGAAATTTGCACATTTATAGTTTTTCTTGATTAAAAATCAGGTTATTTAAAATTTTGCAAAAATTTTTGCATATTTGAAATGGCATGGTCAACGGCTTTTCAAAAATGTATAATTTTTCATTTTTTGACAAATTTTTTTTTGCAAACATTTTTACTATATAACTTGATTTTGCGATAAAAAATTCAATTTTTACAAATTTGCAAATTTGTTTGCAGATTCTAAAAGTAGAGCACAAGAGCTTTCCAATGATGTATCATTTGTCATATTTAGACATCAAACATGGGATTTAGAGGGGGGTCAAATTGACCCCCCCCCCCCAGCATATCCTGGTTTTCAAGTACCCCAGCAGAGATAGGGTTAATAATTTGTCAACTCTAGTATTATAGCATAAACTTGATGTTACAGTTAGAATTCGATTTTCCTGAATTTGATGTTTTGCATAGATAATTGTCGTACTTTGGTTTCTAGCTCGATATTTGGATGACAGAAAATACTGATAATTTTGATATTACCGTAAATGTTCATTGTACAGTGTACGTACATATCTTAAATATGTCTGGACTAAAAATTGAAATTGAGGCAATAGAATTCTGCAAACTTAAACAATTGATTTTTTTTACATACTGGAACATATGTTATATTTTGCATTGTACAGGGTGTTTTTTAATTCTGTAATTTTATGCCTCTGGTACAGTACAGCATAGGTTAAATCATTATGTATTGCATTTATTAAACAATTCGGGTTGTTTTTGGTCCGCCCCTCCAGAAAACATAATTTTTGGTGAAATTAAAAAAATTTTATTTCCCAGATTTTCTTTACGGATTATATAAAAGTCCATTAATAAGCTTCTCAGGACTTTTTTGCAATCTTAAATTTTTTTTAAAAAATAAGTTTTTTGAAATTTTAGAATTAAAGAAAACACCATGTAAATCGACTTATGCGAAAGAACAAAAGACTGCAATTCGATCAGAAAATCTTACAATTTTTTTCCAAAAAGGTGCAGTTTGGTTTTTCATTTGTAACCAATTGCTTCGGACGCATCATACATAATGATAACAATTAATGAAAATTTTGAATTGTTTAAGATTAGATTAAATTGAAATCTGAACGAAATGTCTCCGGTAATGTTGAACTCACAACAATAGCAAACCACATTTTGGAAATGCCAGGTTATTGTTTCAAGAATAACAACTAATTGTGACATCAATAAATTCCAAGATCAAAGACGACACTCAGGTCGTCCTGCTACAGTCATGTTTCGTGGGACACCCTGTATGTAAAAAGAAATAAAGGTTGGTAGTTTTGGCCTTGGAATTGTTATCCTAGCAAAAGCTTTAACGTTTTATTTGGGGAGTTGCCATTCTATGTTGCGCGCAATGCTCCGTGAAATTCCAAAACAGAGAGAGGGGGATTGAATTTTGTGGATCCAGAAAAATAAATAAAAATTAGTATTATTTTAGGGTTAGATTAGGCTAAGACACTTTCTGGACCGAGCGCTGCGGCTAGGACAGGCTAGGGGGCCGAGCGCTGCGGCCACATGTCTTCATTTAAGACTCCCTCAGCTGCCAGTCTCTACGCAAGCATTCCACAGATATTATTTTTCTGGATCTACAAAATTCGATCCCCCTCTCTGTTTTGGAATTTCACGGAGCATTGCGCGCAACAGAGAATGGCAACTGCCTTTTATTTGCTTAAGATATCAAACTAATTTCAACGCTAATAAATAGAAAATATTATTAGCTTGAAGGTATCAACTTTTGGAAGTTATCAAATTAATTGGTCGAGTGTAAAAAAGATCATATATTAGATCTATAACAGAATACAAATTGTTAAATAATAATATTTTCTTATTCGTTACAACTAACAATCATTTGTTCGTCAGTCTTGCATTCAACCCATTCTATGCTAACTTTTTTCAATCAGTGCAGCTTTAAGCATAAAATAATGTAGAAACCGATATTTTACAAACATTTTTTAAACAATACCACAAAATCTTCTAGTCCTGGCATTTCCAAAATGTCGTTTACCTTTTTGTACGGTCGTCTTCCTACCGTCATGTTTTTAGAGACGTAGCAAAATAATACTAATTTATAACAATGTTATTTTAGTTCGCAGTTCTTTTTTTCGAAAAGGTTCAAGCCTTTTTAGATTTTATTTTGTCCCGAGCTTTAGCGAGTGACAAAATATAATCTAAATAGGCGAGAACCTTCGAGATATAGAGATAACTTAAATCCCAAAACGTTTATGTAATTGTCTTAATTCAATGGCTGTTCCTAGATCAAATAACCTTTGAAACAAAGCAGAAGTCAAAATTTAATTTCAATTTTATTTTCATTTCAATTGAAAAAAAAATATTTTGGAAATATCCTAAATTTTTGGGCGAAAATAGCACACGTGCTGATATGCAGCTAATTTAACTTTTTAGTACGATGATTACTTTATAGCACGGTCATTATGAAATTCACGATGAAGTGAGTAAGAATGATAAAGTACACAATAGTTTCATAAAAAAAATATTTTAGAAATATCCTTAATATTTTGAAGAATATCCGGGAACCAATCAAAACTTTATAGCACACGTGCTATAATGACGGCTAATTTAACATTATAGCACGATGATAACAGTATATCCACGATGAAGTGAATAAGAATGATAAAGTACGCAATAGCTTCTTAAAATCTTAGTACATTACAAATATTTTTGCTTTCCTTCAAATCAACGCGAACCTCGAGACCAAAACATGTTTTATAATTTCATCTATATTTGGACATTTTAAACAAAATACATATTAAATAAAATACAGTAGCTACACCTCACGACAAATTGATTCTAACATTGGACAGATTTTAACATTCGGAAAAGCTAACAACTCCTAATTACATTAACAGCTGTTGCACGTACGTTGATAAATAACAAGAGGCGATAGCACTGTACTGTACATTATGTATTGTATTGGGTACACAGATATACGATTACAATAAAATCTATATTTTTATCACACTTTTTCTTTCATCGCAAACGAGGTATACATGTTTAGTACAGAACATTTATGGTTATGATGACATAACCTTTCTATAAGATGATTTCAGGGAAACAAAAGAGTGAACTGAAATTTATCAAAATTTGTATTTCTTTCATGATAAAAAGAGCTGGGTCAAAATATCTGATAATTGAACCCAATGGGGCAAAAAAAATACATAAAGGCTCTAGTGCACTTTTAAGGAATATAAACTTCTAAGAATGATATTTCTGCAAGTAAATATTAAACTCCGACAACTGAGTGAAGATTCCATGGACCCCCCCCCCCTTACCATCTATTTGAACCGTTTCTTGACTTTTCACGGTGGAAGGTGATCATATCAATATAATGAAGACGACGTTCAATTTAAATTTAGATTTATATCAAGCTTTTAAACAGCATTTCTACAAAAAAAACATGGAAACAAAGAGAAGCTGTCAATTAAAAAAGCTTCTCTTTAATAAGTTATGCTTGTAATTCAAACAAATCTTGTTAACTATTACACTTACATAAAATATTTGTCTTAATTATATTGATATAATCACCTACCACCGTAGTATAATCACGCGAGGTTGCCAAGCAAAATATAGGAGGGGGGAGGGTCCAGAATAACTATGTAAGGACGGGGCCAAACTCTGTTTGCACATCAAATGAGATAACATTTGACCCCTTTTAACACTCATAGTCATATACAGAAGTAATTCTAACTCAATCTTTGCTTTGATAGTAGTGAAACTAGGATACGAAAATGGTCAAAAATCGTTGAATTTTTTTTTTACTAAGTTACAGTCAACATTTTAGAGAAAATTCCTTTTCCATTAATCAATACAAGTGAAGGTTCAAATTAAATGGACCTTGCCACAAATTGTTCTGACAATTTTCAAACCTAGGGTAAATTGAGGATCATTTTATAACAACGTTGTATATTAAGGTTGATACTCTGAATGCGCTCCTATGTAGGTTAAGACGACTTTTATAATAATGGAAACTCTAATATCTCATATGACGTCACTGCTTATTTTAAAATTTTGCGGCTCACTATTTATTAACAAACTCAAAAAATGAAAACTTATATTAGAATTGCATTTTCTTAGCTTCAAAAATGTGATGATTTTTAGTTAAGTATCAGTGACGTCATATGAGGTATTAGTGTCTTCTCTTCATTGCTAAAAAAAGTCGCCTTTACCTACATTAGAGCGCATCCAGAGCAACCTTGGTTTATCCACACATAAAACTAACAATTTTAAAAGCTAAGACTATTTTCAACATCATTGAAATAAAAAACTGTTTACATAACTAGTCGAATAAAGTAAAACCCAAATGACAAAGATCTGGTTCTTAAATTAATTAAAGCAAAGATTTTACAGAAGGAACAAGAGATGTTATATTTAAATTTATTACAGAACTTTTAGAGAATGATCAGTGATCACCGTAAAAATTTCTACATATTTACTTTAGTTAAGATTGCGAATTATCTCATCATTGGTCAATACGTTCGCTCCCCCTGTCTATAAAATCAATGAAGTACTGAATGAAAAGCAAACAGGCGTGTTTAAAACATTAACACAATAAAATACCGGCATCTTTGTCGAGATTAAGAAATAAGAAGTTCCATCTGCTCAGGAGCCAAGTTAAAACTCTAAAAATATCAAAGGTGTAAGCTTAATATATACTATCTGTAAGGTAAAAACTAAAAGATGAACCATAACATAAAAATGAGTGATTTTGCATTAATTTAATGTCTAATCAATACTGGAGTGTTTAAAATCCGTCCTTCACGTACTAAAAAACGTTCACAAAACGTTGCACAAGAAATTTTTTCTTCTCAAACACATGACAAAAACTCGTACTTTATCCAATATCCATGGTTTATTCAAAGCTAAAGTTTTCTTTGAACATTTACAAAAAGTTTAAAATAAAAAAAAATATTAAGTGACCGATTAAAATTGAAAAAATGCAATTTAACAATTTGAGCCTCAGATGCAATAATGTTTTAAAGAAACATTTTAATGTTAATCAATGAATCATTTACTGAGAGGATTCAATGATAAACCCGAGGGCTTGCGGATTTTTTTTGCCTTTGTAGATTTTCAAAGTATCTTTCATTGAAAATATTCCGGCGGGATTAAATGAAAATTGTTGCATACCTTAAAACCAGCTTTTTATAAAATTTCCAATGATTCTAGTTTCTAATTTGAGTAAATGATACGTTGTTTATACGTTAAAAGATTACTCTAAAAATTTTAATCACTTGATAAAATTCCAAAATAAGAAGAACATTGTTCAGAAAGATTATATTACATCCCATCTACTAAACATATGACCAACTAACTTTCAGACCTACGAAAGCTGTTTATTTTGTATTATGTAAGAGTTAGGTTCGGACAATCTCTAGACAGAGCGCCGCGGCTAGGACAGCCTACTGGACCAGGCGCAGCAGCCACATGTCCACGTGCGAGCAGGTCAGAAGCGAAGTAAAGCGGATGTGATTAGGTCAAAAGATGCACCATCGGAAATGTCTTTACCTTATAAAAGCTGCAACATATTTTGTACTCATCTTCCTACAAATTGACTCGTAAATTTTGGTTGATGGCGCGTAGCTCCTTAATTTCCGCCATTTCTCGAATGCACGTGATAACATCGAGAACGTTTGCCAGCTTCAAACGCGCAGCATGCCGTGGATGTTTCGAGTATATATACCGATAAAGCATTTTCAGATACATGGACTAAACAAAAAATCAAATTAAACAGAGAACCATTTAAAAGATAAAAACTATTAAATTTTAAGTTGAAAGTTTTTATGGTGAAATTTCAAGTGACCCTCCCTTTAAAGATGGTCATGACAGATTCACAACGATACACACCCTTTCAACCTTGTAAAGGTACCGTTGTAGATCGGATATGCATAAATAAAAATACTAAGTTTCTTCGCGGTACACACCTTTAAAACCTTGTAAAGGTATTGTTGCGAATCAGATATGGATAACAAGATAAAGGGTCACATAGTTGGTTTCAATTATAGTCCTTATAACGTGTGTTTACCTGAGTTCGGTAAACTTCCCTACTGTTGGTGAGAGAACAGAAATCAGGGGAGAAGAGTACAGTATATGTTAACAGAATAGATATGGTCTCATCATTCAGCTGAAATATATTTATTTAACCTTATTCTACAGATAGCTAACATTTTACGATCAAATTATTGAATTATTTACTTATTACTGTTAGAAACTAGTTTGGAAGTATACATTACCTCAAAAATTAAATCTCTCATGTATGTTCTATTTTTGATTTGTTATTTATGAGATGTTCAATCTTTGATTTCGCTATCTCGATGTTATATCTTTGATTTTGCTATCTATGAGATACATTTTCTTTGATTTTGATAACTATTCGATGTTTTATCTTTGATCTTATAATCTATGAGATGTCCTATCTTTGATTTTATAATCTAATTGATATCCTATTTTAGATTTTGTGATCTATGAGGTGTATTTTCTTTTATTTTGATATGACTAAAATGTCAAAAGAAAGTTGTCCAAAATAACGACCTTTCCATGTTCTCTCCTTGTAAAAATATAAAATAAATGCAACTTACAACTTTTCCAACTTTCTCCTGCAGATAATTATATCGATCCTCCTTGGGGGAGAGGCCGATCGCCTGGATGCTGTTAAAGGTCTTGTAGTCGATGTGCTTCATGGTGTCCTCCCTCAACAGTTTAGAGAACATGTTCTCTATCGTCTGTATGTCATCTGAACAACAGAGAATAAGAATTTGATTAGCTTAATAAAATTTTCTTTTTATCCGCCGGCAAAACAAATAATTAAATTTAATTAAATTCACAATTCAATTCACAATTCAATACACAATGCAATAGACAATTCAATTCACAATGCAATTCACACTTCAATTAACAATTCATGAAGCTAGGGAGGTGTCCAATAGCCCCTTGACCTATGGAGGGTATGCAATCAAAATCCCTTCTAGATCAAGGCTTTTCAGCCTGGCATAGTTAAAGCCTTGCGTCGTACAAAACGACGAAATTTGATCCATGCCACCTGTTTTAATTCAACTAAATATTAAACATAGCTACTTTTTAATTTGTTCTTTTCATCTGTCATTTTAAAAATTTCCTTTCTTATTTTTAGGAGGGTTAAGTAGAAATATACAATGATTTGATTCATCAAACTCATAGTAAAAGTTTTGCCCCCCCCCCCCTCTATACAATATTTGAAAGGACAAGATATGCACACTTCACAAGACGCGTAGATACGATAAAATCATGCATGAAATCAACATGATGAATCATCACAAAAAAAAATTAATAGATGAATCAAATGCTGGGCAACAGATAATTTTATCAAGTTACAACATAAATCTAATTTTAATTGCTGAAAAAAAATCAATTCATTAAATTAAATTAAATACTTATTATGGAATAAAAATATAAATGTAAAAGAATTTTTCTAACTGCAGACAATAAACAATGTTAAGTTACAATCTTACAGGATAGAAAAATATGTTACTAAACAAATGAACTTGACTTCGAAAAATACAAGATCCTTAAATTTTTATCCCTACCGTGTGCGACCACCACGGAATATTTAAGCGGAATTAACTTAAACGTTCGATTTTGATCAAAGTTCTTAAAAAAGGTTACTTACTCTCGATGCGCTCCAATGTACCGAAAATATTGTTTCCTAGTATGACGTCACTGATTTTAAAGGCGAGAGTGACGTCATATTAGATTTTTATGAATCTATCTTAGGAGACGACATTTTCCGTACATTCGAGCAAATCGAGAGTTACCTATTATACAACCTTAATTCCGATTAGCACAAGAAAATTATTGACCTTGGGAAAGATGTTGTGATTACATACCTTCCCCCATGGAGAGCATAACTTGCTGGGCTCCATTCTTCTGAGAGTCGAAGAAGATCGCTCCCCTGAGACTGACTAACAGGTTCGCGTTCTCTTTGAGTAGAGCACCCTGATCCTCATTGGAGAGCTGCTTGAAGGCTTCCTGATGGTTTGCAATCCTCGTAATTCTCTCGACTATCAACCTAAAATAGTAATATTACTAGGAAACATTTTTTAGATTTATAATAGTTCTAGTCTTGATAAATACAAAGGGTTATGATTTATTGTATGGTACCTGTAACCAGTAATGGCGGCTTGAGTTGATACAGGAATGCTGAACATCGAACAAAAAATCATTTCCTACAAATCATTTTCAGATTAAAAAAATTATTCATATTATTTCCAGATTAAAATAAAAAATATTAAAATTACAAAACTTCAGGGAATTCGACTATGGCTTCCACCCTAAAAGCGTCCGAGCCAATGATTCCAGACGAATCTAAAAAAACTTTAGCCCCGCGGAGGCAGCTTTCAAGTACTTGGTACATATCTTGCTAAGGTTAAGTAAGGCTAGATTGCACTCTTCGATTTACCTTAATAAGTTCTTCGCCAAAATTTACAGATCGGTAGCGTTCATTGTGACTTTCCACTACATTTTTTAAGATCTCAGCTTCGTCCGGAGTAAAGATGATCTCTGGTTGGGGATCATAAAATCCATTCATGTTGACGTATCCCTCCTCATCATCAGAGTTCATCTCATCCGGAGCAAGACCCTCGAGCACGGTTTCGACATAATCACCGGCAACGATTGGTTGACCCCCGGTCTGGGAGTTGTGACAGGCAAGAATAGATCCGTTGGATCCTGAGTAGAGAGAAGGATTCGAACCCGCTTGAGAGACGGAGATAAATGAAGGATGGACGATATCTACGAGATTACTGATCATCTCAAAGTCTGTGTCCTCAGAATCCAGATCGTGGAACCCATTAGACATCTCCATTTTAGGCTGATCGTCGCCCATCATCATAGAAAATCCTTCCTAGAATTTTCAATATGTTAAAATAAAATATAGAAATTAACTGAAACCGTCCTAGAGTTTTTTTTAAGAACAAAATAAACTCAAAACCATTAAAAAATATTTATCTTTTAACGGTAAAATGACCTCAAAAATGTCCTAGAATTTATTTTTAAAGTAAAATTAACTCGAACCCTGTCCTAATTGTTAAAACCCAAATTAATTTAAAATCTACAAAAAGAAAAATCTTTATACAAACGCATATATTTTCCACAAATATGCATGCTAAAATATGTTAAGATTATCGTGATTCTTAAAACAACTTGATATGACTTGCTTCTATTTCTCTTGGAAAATAACTCAACAGAAATAATACTCGGAAACTTAAAATTGAATTATTGAGAAGAAATTTAATTCGACTCGAGCAAACAAGTTTTAGCTTTCAGCGTATTCTCTATCTCCCCCCCCCCCGCGGTTTAAATTGAACATAAAGCAGGTAGAGGAAAAATATGATCTTAAGCAGTCGAAGACGTTATATGACACCAGGATACAATAGCTCAGTCGACATAAAATGTGTACTTAACCCATTTTGTAACAGAAATCTAAAAAAGTACGCGGCGACAAATAGAAAATCTAAATTCCATCATACTAAAATATTAAGGTTATAAAAAAATTAAACAAACAAAAGCATTTAAAATTGTTATAAAGTAAAAAATGAGGAAAATATAAATAATTATTACTAGGGTTTACAGACTGAGTAACAATTAAAAAAATTACACTCAGGCAGCATTAAAGACTTGGACCTTTTTTTAATAAGGATGATAATCAAATAAAAAAATCACCTCCCTGCAGATAATTATATCGATCC